TGGCGGATGCACTGTCTTGGACGGATTTCCTGGACGATAATGACACTACAGACACGGTACACGCGGTGCCGGACTTGTTGCACAACGATGTGGACAGTTTCAACGCTGTTGGTGCGCTGTTGGGCAACCCCTCGACAGCGGCTCGTGGCCTAGCGACGGATGTGCTGACAACTATCCCAGACATGGATGGGTTATATGCGGCTGCCGTGATGCTCCAGGTGGAAGCTGACTCGGGTTTGATCGAAGAAATCCGTGCCAGCTACGCGGAAGACAATTGGTGTAAGAAGTTACCTGTGTTGCAGGGAAGCGTGCCGGGTATCAGGGAGGACAATGGCCTCTGGTTCGTGGGTAGCTGACTGATCATTCCAAGGAAAGGTGGCATCCGCGAGAGACTCTTCCAACTGGCACATGACGACAGTGGCCATTTTGGATTTCAAAAGTCTTACGCTTCCTTGCGGGAAAGCTATTATTGGCCAAACATGCGACGGGACTTGGAATATGGCTATGTCCCCTTGTGTCCTGACTGCCAACGCAACAAGTTGTCCACAAAGCGTGCTGCAGGCCCACTGCATCCCTTGCCAGTTCCAGACAGACACGGCGACTCCGTTGCAATCAATTTTGTGGGACCGCTGCCCTTGGATGATGGTAAGAATTGCATAGCAACATTTACTGACCGCCTAGGTTCCAATATTCGTTTTGTTGCTATGCGGACAGATATTACGGCGGAAGACTTCGCGCTGTTGTTCTTCAAACATTGGTACTGTGAGAATGGGCTACCACTGAATATCGTCTCCAATAGAGACAAGCTTTTTGTGTCCGCCTTCTGGAAAGCACTGCACAAGCTGACGGGTGTGAAACTGAAGATGTCCACCGCATTCCATCCGGAGACAGACAGCGCAAGCGAGCGCACGAACGAGATGTTAAACCAGTGCCTCCGATACCATGTGGCATGCAACCAACAGGGTTGGGTCCAAGCCTTGCTGAGGGTGTGTTTCCAAATCATGAATTCCGTAAACAAGTCCACAGGTTTTTGTCCGTTTCAATTGCGCATGGGCCGCTGTCCACGTCTCATCCCTCCGTTGACCGGGCCCCTCGCACCGTTGGACACTACCCCCGAGGAGGAGGTTGCTTGGGACGTCATCGCCAGACTGGAAGAAGATGTAGCGGAGGCCCAGGACAATTTATTGGCGGCGAAGTGTGCCCAAGCAGAACAAGCAAATAAGTCGCAAGATCCAACTCCCAACTACAGTGTAGGCAATCGTGTCAAGCTCAGCACTGCTAACCGTCGCTCCCAGTACCTCCGTTCTTCGACTGACAAGGGCCGTTGCGCAAAGTTCATGCCTCGCTTCGATGGACCCTACACAGTAGTTGCGGTGCATCCGGAGTGCTTGACGGTCACCCTGGATATGGCCGGCCAATTGCTGGTCTTCCCTGTTTTCCACACGTCAGAGGTGCGACCATACAAGGAGAACAACCCGGCCCTCTTTCCCGACCGCAAACTACCGAGGCCTGGCCCAGTGGTCACTCCCCAGGGCCAGCAAGAGTGGGCCATTGACAAGATAATCGACGAATGCCCCCGAGGCCGCAGGCGGCAATTTTTGGTGCAATGGGCCGGACATGGGGCCAAGAACAAATGGTGGCTTGCTTGACGCGACCTCGCGCAAACAGAAGCTCTTGATCGATGGTTGGAAAAGCGGGAAAAGCTTGTTTCTACGAATACACCTCCAACCAGCAGCCGGTAGCTTTTTCCCAATGGGTTTTGATGCACCTGTGCACGCTTATGTACTTACCTTACTCATTTCACTGGGGTTTTCTGTTTTAGAGAGGGGGAGGGTGTAAGCCCACCCACCGGACTTACGTGTTACGTCACATCAGACTACCATACATACGGCTTACCAGCTATGCTCTCGCTACACATCTCGACCTTTCTGTACTGCATGTACGTATCCCCCACGCAAGGGACTTTTTGCTAGTTCAGTTCCCCCTGCCTTTTTCAGATTTCCCAGTGTTTCTTGGCATATAGGTATGCCAAGCTTCCACTCTCTCTTATGCTCTCACTATGTATCCTTAGCTTGCTGACTTTTTTTTTTCTGTACAGCATATATATCCCCACGCAAGAGTCTTTTTGCTAGTTCCTCTTCTCTCTTTTGCCTCCTGGTCTTTCCTTCCAGTGTTTCCTGATGTACCAGTATGCCAGGTTTCCACTTCTTTAGCAACAACTGCCCTTGCACAATTGCCTCTGAGAGGGGAGGCTCTGTTGTTCCGCCACCATCATCTGATGCATGGGAAAGGAAGCCAGAGGTCCCCCCTGCTGCAGAGGGTGGTAGGCCACTCACCAGGAGCGCCAGCCAAATAAGAAAATGGCACCCCCCAAGAGATGGAACAAAAACAGTTACAGTAACCTCTGAAATACAAAATGGATTTTATACAACAGGAGGACACAATGCCCAAGAACAAAGCTGTGACAATCAACCCAAAAACAAAGTCAAAAAGAGAAGTGAATTCAAAGACTGGAGAATACAACCAAGTAGCTACAGTATTTATACCCAAATCCAATCTGAGTCATATCTACAACTAATGAGTCATAGGGCTATGCACCACATGGAGCGCTGGTCATGGGTTGTAGTAGAACCTTCTGGAGCATACAGTGCCCCAAGGCACCTCTCTTTGGCTCTGATCAGACCACGTAGAAATTTATTTGGATTTTTATACTTTTTCTTTGGAAGGAAACCCACCAAAAGAATGTGATTCACCACATAAACTCATTTTTTTCCCACGGTGTGTCACTTTTTTGGAGGTCAAAAAAACCAAAACACTGCATTTGAGGTCCGAAATTGGAGAGAATGTCTACAGATTGATGGAAGAATGCCCAAAATACATGGTTAACTTATTCCTGTGCTGATGTCAGCTGTCACAGCGGGTTGAGGAGAAGACTCCAGGAGGAATAGGGGCTTCCCAATATGGTAATTTCCTTATTGTTAACCCTAACGTGGGGTTTGTGTCACTTTTTTGGGGTCAAAAATGTCCAAACTTAACTCTGATGTCTGTGCTGCACACCATGGCTAGATGCACTCCAAAAGAGTCCATTCATGTATAGAAAGAGTCTCTAAGTGATTTCGGGAAAATGTAGAAGACCTTCCAAATATGGACTCTGATCGCCAGCCACTCGCTTACGAGAAGTGCCTTGAGGCACTGTATGTTGTGCAGCCTTGAATCGATAAAGATGATCCCCTGGACCCCTAGCCTGGACTGTCAGATGCCATGATCCATGATAAGATAACCCATGCCGAGATAAGATAAGATCATTGAAGATAAGATGAAAAAGGGTCAAACTATGACATTACCCCCTCTCTAGGGTCAATGTCCTCATCGACTGGGCCAATGGGTGTGAAGACATTTTTGTAAGGGTCAAACAGTTGTTGTTGGGGATATGGGAGGCGCTCGTCTTTGGGTTTGTAGCGATGGATGAGATAATCCCAGTGTCCGGCTTCAAGTGTTGGCAGGAGGCAGATGCGTGTGTCTGGGTCGGATTATTTCCTCTGCCAAGCCTTCAGGACTCTCTTCACATGGGTAAGGTGATGTGATGGTTCCCAGGTGTTCTCGCTATGCGGCCATCCCTGTGACAATCAACCCAAAAACAAAGTCGAAAAGAGAAGTGAATTTGAAGACTGGAGAATACAACCAAGTAGCTACAGTATTTATACCAAAATCCAGTCTGAGTCATATCTACAACTAATGAGTCATAGGGCTATGTACCGCATGGAACACTGGTCATGGGTTGTAGTAGAACCTTCTGGAGCATATGTCGCGCAGCCTTGAATCGATAAAGATGACCCCTATCCCCCTAGCCCGGACCGTCAGATGCCGTGATCCGCAATAAGATAAGATCGTCGAGGATAAGATGAAAAAGAGTCGAATTATGACATTACCCCCTCTCTAGGGTCGATGTCCTCATCGACTAGGCCAATGGGCGTGAAGACGTTCTTGTAAGGGTCGAAGAGTTGTCGTTGGGGATATGGAAGGCGCTCGTCCCTGGGTTTGTAGCGATGAATGAGATAGTCCCAGTGTCCCGCTTCGAGCGTTGGCAGGAGGCGAATGCGTGTGTCTGGATTTGATTGTTTCCTCTGCCAATCTCTTAGGACCTGCTTCGCGTGGATAAGGTGACGTGATGGTTCCCAGGTGTTCTCGCTATGCGGCCATCCCTTCCATTTGACCAAGTACTGTTTTCCTCGGCCAACGTTTCGCTCTTTCACAATCTCTTCAACTTCCCACTCCTCTGCTCCTCTGATCATCTTGGCTACAGGGCTCTTCTCTCGGCGATGGGGGGGTGGTTCGTGATATGGTGTCAATAGTGACTTGTTGAACACCGGGTGTCTTCGGTCCGTGTCCGGCAAATCCAGCTTCCATGCGGCCGCTCCAACCTTCTCCAGTATCTTGTATGGCCCCAATCTCTTGTCGCTCATCTTCTTCGATGGTCTATCCGTCTCAATATTTTCCCCTTCTATGTACACCTTCATCCCAACCTTCAACTCCGGAACTTCTTTTCTTTGTTTATCGTAGTATCTTTTCATTTTTTCTTTTGCTTTTTCCAATGCTGCTTTTGCTTTGTCTTGTATTTCTTTGATTCTTTTTACAAACTCCTCCGCCGACTCGTTCCTCGATTCCATCCGTTGTTCCACTCCCTTCCATGGGTGATATCCATGATTGGCGTAGAATGGTGATATTTTGGTAGACGCGTTCATCTTGTTGTTGTATGCAAACTCCGCCATTCCCATGTTGAGGGGAGCGCCATGGACGCGAGTAAGTAGATTAGCTATCACGTGTGTATATGTACATACTCTATTACAAAAACACATACATCCAGTTCTGACCGCTACGACACAGCGACTACCCGCGCTTTACAGGTTATGGGCCCCGTGGTCTAAATCGCTGTCATCATATCCAAGTCACCCGTTTCGTTTTTTCGTCCGAAGTCACCGGACACATCACTTCCATCTGCCATGCCTTTTGACGCGTCGAGAAAAACTTTCGACAACCTCCGCAGCTCTCCGAGCAACTACACCACATGGAAACTCAACGTCGAAGCCGTCGCCAAGACCTACAAAGTATGGCGGATGATCCAAGGCCGCGTATTGGAGCCCGACTTCCTGGACCCCAATGCCCCGACAAAGTCGGAACAAGTCGAGCACGACGAGTGGGAGGATCTACGGGATGAGGCAGCGGGAATGCTCTGGCTCTGCATCGAGCCGGACCAGCAGGAACATGTGAAGTCGGTGCGGAATAACCCGGAGATGATGTGGGATAAGCTGGCGGAACTTCATCGCGCCCAATCGGCCGCGCCTCGTTTCTCCACCCTCATAAACCTTCTCAACGTCACGCGCGAGCCCGACAAACCTCTCATGACCTTCCTCACGCGCATCACCAGTCTCGGCGGCGAATGGCGCGAACTCCTTCCACCCACTCTCTCCCTCAACCAACTATGCGAGGAACTGCAATGCATCGCCGCGATACGTGGCATTTCTGAATCTCACAGCACCATTGCGACGGGTCTTCTGCAGAACAACACGGCAAAGCTCACGCTCGACGCTGTCCGCCTATCCTTCTACACCGAGGACAACCGCCCAACGATGAACGGCGGTACTGCGGCATCTGCCATGAGGGCATCGTCTTTGTCGAGCACCTCATACACCCCCTCACTTGCCTCTCCTTCCTTGACTCCCGCGGCCTCATCGACCGCCAAATGCCCGTTTTGCGATCGTGACGGTCACACCGACGTGGAATGCTACGCGCGCCAAAACGCAATGAAGAAGGCGAAAGCGAAGACTCGAGAGAGGCAGGAAAAGCCCTCGACTGGAGCGACTGCCAACATGGCGAGTAGTCCAGCCTCACCCATCAAGTCATTGTCTGACTGGATCGTGGACACAGGCGCGAGCCGTCATATGACAAGCCAACGTCATGTGTTCCAGTCCTACAAGTCGTGTGTTGTGCCAGTGCAGCTTGCTGACAACTCGGTGATCTATTCGGAGGGTGTGGGTTCGGTGGCGTTTCGTTTGGACTGCGGGCGGGAGATCGAGTTAACGGACGTGTTGCATGTACCCGCTCTTCAATCGAATCTGTTCTCTGCTCTATTTCTGTTGAGGAAGCGAGGATTCAAGATGCATGGTGACGAGAAGGGACTGGTGTTCAGCAAGGGTGACCTGAAGCTGAAAGCGCACCACAATGCCACTGGCGACACCGCTATCCTATCCGCCTCAGCTATCCTCACCAAGCCTCCTGATCGCGCTGCATACGCGTCGCAGAAGAGCACGCTTGACCACGACTCGTCTCTCTGGCATCGTCGTTTCGCGCACGTGAATGTGGATCGTGTGCGGGCTGCAATCAAGGATGGGCACGTAACGGGGGCAAAGATCTCGAAGAGCTCACCGCCCGATCCTATTTGCAAACCATGCATTGCTGGGAAGCAGCACCGCCACATCTCCAGGCAGCCACGTCATCGAGCAACGAGACCACTCGAGATCATCCATTCAGATTTGAAAGGGCCGATGCCAGCCCAGAGTCGGGAAGGCTTTGCGTACTGGGTGACGTACATCGACGACTTCACGGATATGTGCCAGATATTCTTTCTGCAACGAAAGAGTGACCAAGCAGAGGCTTTCCGCCAGTTCAAGGAAAGTGCGGAGGCGGCACATCCGGGGCATCGAATTGTGTATCTGCAGGATGACGGAGGAGGCGAATATGTCGGCACAGAGTTCAAACGACAGTTGGCAGAATGGGGAATTACCGTGCGCGAAACGGAGCCTGGCGAACCTCATCAAAATGGGGTAGCAGAGCGCGCAAACCGGACCATTGAGGAGGGAGCGACGGCCATTCTCCAGGAAGCAGGTCTACCGATGAACATGTGGGTGGAGGCTGTCACGGCATTCAACTACTGCCGCATGAGGTTGCCCACATCGGCGTCAACATCAACTCCATACCAAGCCTGGTTCGGACGTAAACCGGACGTCAGCCATCTGCGGATATTCGGTTCCCTCGCGTACGTGCTCATCCCGAAGAAGAAGCGCAAGACTTTCCAGTCGAAGACTCAGTTGATGCTTTTCGTCGGGTACGCTGCAGGAACCAAGGCATGGCTATTCTGGGATCCAAGATGCAAGCGCACCCTAGTCTCGTCGCATGCGTCCTTTGATGAGCGCGTCCTCCCTGGGAACCACTGGCCGCTAATCAATCCGTACAGCCTGCAACCTCCTACGCCAACGCAGTCAAACCTGCCGGATCCTGTTCCAGCTCAAAGCAAAGACTCTGCGCCGCCTTCTGACGATCCGCCGCGGCAAGGGGGAGCACGTATGGGAACTGACGCCGCGGAGAACGTTGCAACACCGAGACCTGCACCATCACCTTCGCCCACACTGCCCGCAATTGATTCCCCCCATCTTTCGCATCTGAGTGATCTCAGTTCTCTCTCCTCTCTCTCGGATAACGACGAACCACCAGCACCCCTGAACGTCCCTCGGCAGCTTGCACCACAAGAGTTCGACAACTCCGGGCGGAACGGACTATACGTCATGCCCCCCGGGCTGGGGCGGGGCCAACGTTCGAGGAATCGAGAAGCAGACGTTCGTGCGCCTTGGAACTACCAGGGATCGTGGTCGCCCGGCGCGACAGCGCGCATCGCAGAAGCTGAGAAGTGCCTATACGTGTCGGCAGAGGAAGCATTGGAGCTGGCGTTTGAGGAGGCGCTTGAGAGGGCATGCGCGACTACTGTGGGAGGTCCCAAGACTTATGAAGCCGCTATGAAGCTTCCAGCCGAGGAGGCAGAGAAATGGCATGCGTCAGCTTTGCAGGAGCTGCAGTAGCTTGTCGAGATGGGTGTCTTCGAGATGGTCGAGCTTCCCCGCGGACGGAGAGCCATCGGAAACCGTTGGGTGTTTCGTGTGAAGCTGAACAGTGATGGATCAGTGGAGAGGTATAAGGCACGTCTTGTTGCAAAGGGTTACGCGCAACGCCCCGGCTTTGACTTCACCGAGACGTTCGCACCAACACCCAAGTGGGCTACGCTCCGTCTAATCCTCGCGTTTGCTGCCCTCGAGGACCTCGAGCTATTCAGCGTTGATATCTCTTCAGCGTACCTCTACGGCGATATCACCGAGGATGTCTACATGGAGTTCCCAGAAGGCTCCATAAACGTACCCACCGGACGCGCGCTGAAGCTCCTCAAGTCCTTGTACGGCCTGAAACAAGCGGGACATCAATGGCATCTCAAATTGCACAAGGTTTTATTGTCAATGGGTTACAAGCGAGTACGATGCGAGCACAGCGTCTGGGTTTACGATTCCGAATCCTCCGATACTCGCGTCATCGTCCCGGTCTTCATCGACGACATGACGATCGCAGCAAAATCCGCAGCCAAAGCACGTGAATTCATCGAGGAATTGGGCAAGCATTTCAATCTGCGAGACTTGGGCGAAACCAAGTGGCTACTCGGCGTTGAGATAGAACGGGATCGCGCATCGCGAATACTCACCATGTCTCAGAGGCAGTACATCATCGACATCCTCGGGCGCGCCGGCATGTCGGACTGTCATTCTGTGACAACTCCGATGGATCCCAAGGTCGTTCTCACATCCGCGGACTGTCCAACGTCACCAGACGACATAGCGCGTATGCAGAACGTGCCGTACCTCCATATCCTCGGTGCCGCCGCCTATCTCGCCATCGCCACCCGCCCCGATATTGCGTACGCGATTGGAGTCTTATCTCGCTTCTCGAAGAACCCGGGATGGGTGCATTGGCTGGCTTTGAAGCGCGTGCTGCGCTACCTTCGTGGGACAATGGACCTCAAGCTGACTTTCCGAGGGACAATGCCCGACCAGGGGGAGCTTTTCACGACGTACAGCGACGCGGATCACGGCGGGAACCCGGACAACAAACGGTCCACCTCGGGCCATGTGGTGACCATAGGCGGCGGTGCAATTAGCTGGGCGAGTCACCTCCAGCCGTTCGTGACATTATCGACGACAGAAGCCGAGTACGTATCCGCAGCATCTGCGGGCCAGGAGATTCTGTGGTTGCAGAATATGCTTGAGGAGCTGGGGTATGGACGCACCGGATCTTCGACCCTCCGAATTGACAACCAATCTGCCCTCTCCGTTGCCAAGAACCCTGACCACCACGGCAGAGTCAAGCATCTTGACCTGAGGTACTACTGGTTACGCGATGTCATTGCCGCCGAGGAGATCCGCGTGGAATACTGTCCGACCGGGGAAATGATTGCAGACATCATGACGAAGGGATTGTCGCGCGAGAAGATGGAGCCAATGCGCTCTTGGCTTGGATTGCATTCGGACACGCGTCCTGTCGAGGGGGAGTGTTGAGGGGAGCGCCATGGACGCGAGTAAGTAGATTAGCTATCACGTGTGTATATGTACATACTCTATTACAAAAACACATACATCCAGTTCTGACCGCTACGACACAGCGACTACCCGCGCTTTACATCCCAGCCACTCCAACCAGTCCGTCTGATGGTAATTGACGTAGATGCGGAGATAGTGTTCGATCTCCTGATTCATGCGTTCCGTTTGTCCATCTGTGATCGGGTGATATGCGGTCCCCGGATTCATTTCCACGCCCAACATCCGATTTGTCTCCCTCATGAAGCCTTTGATGTAGCGCGAATCCCTGTTGGTGATGATCTTGCGGGGGATCCCGTGGTAGCGGAAGACTCGGTCCCTGGTTAATCATGCAACTCCTTCACTGCTGATGTCAGTACTAATTGGCTCGACATGGATCATTTTGGTGAAGGTGTCACACCACACATGAATTGCATCATACCCGTTACTGACCGGTAGGGGTCCGATTTGATCCATGGAGATGATTTCCCACGGCGCATTTGGGACTGCATGCGGATGCAGAGTCCCTGTCCTTGCTCTCCTGGTCTTGGTTCGCTGGCACGCCTCGCACGTCTGGATGTATTTCCGGATTTGGTTCCCCATCCTTGGCCACCAGTAGTTCCTTTCTACCATTTCCTGCGTTCAATTGATCCCAGCGTGTCCAACCAAGGGTGTGTCGTGGTGTAGCCCGATGATCTTGTCTCGCAGCTCCTCGTCCCTCGGTACATAGAGCTTCCCGTGGTATGTGATGAGCCCATCTTCCTTTCTCCATCCAGCGAGTGACTTCTCCAAGGCCACCTTGACGCTCCCATCAATCGATCGAGTGGTTTTGATCTCATCAACTAGCTGCTGATCCTGTCCCTCGAATGTGACTTCTTGTGATCGGAAGAATTCGGGCTTCAGTAGCGTGACGTGCTTGTTGTCGTTCTTGCCCTGATCGTGATCCGCTCGTCGAGACAGGAGATCCGCCTTGCGGTTGAGTGCACCGGGTCGGTGTCGTAAAGTGAAATCAAACTCCGCCAACTCCGTGATCCATTGTGCTTGTTGTCGATTGAGCTTCTGCGGCTTCCGAAAGTACTCGAGATTTTGATGATCGGTAAAGATCTCGAACGTTTCCGTGGCTCCCAGGAGCAGCTGCCTCCATTCGTTGAGCGATAACATGATTGCAAGCATTTCTTTGTCGTAGATCTCGTAATTTCGCTCGGTTTCGGTCAATGCATGTGAAATAAACGCGATTGGGCGTCAAATGCCATCTTGGTTTTGGCTCAAAACGGAGCCTGTTGCCCCTTCCAAAGCATCGGCTTCCAGACGATATTGGCCGGTGTCGTTTGGCAGTGCTAAGACCGCATCCTCCGCGATTCTCTTCTTCAACCCA